GGAGGGAAACAGCGACACAGACAGAGGTACAGTACAAGGAAAAAAGTCAATAAGCAGGGATTGTACATTTTATTATCAGCTGAGCTTAGGGATGGGTACCGAATTCGATACTTTTTGATGTAAAGACCGAATTCTGTCGGCACTACCGAGTATCTATTCACGTAACATCAAACGGTACCATGTTTCGGTACCTAAACGCATCATTGCGACCGGTTTGGCTTAAGAGTGGTGAGTTTTCTATGCTTCTCCTGAATGCAGCATCAAGCAAAAGCRTAATGACATCAGCAGCAGCAGCCRCTGGTTCAGTCAGTAAACAGAGAGGCAGCAGAGCTCAGTCTGAACGTAGCTAAGWGAGCCTYGCAGCTCCTGGAGTAAAACTCGCCGAACAGAYCGCCTCTGAATTATCTGGTGGATTAATTATCTTGTGARCACRACGTTCGCTTGCTCCAAGTAAATAAAGTCCCGCCACTTTCTTTATTTCATCCACATTAAACAGAGACCGGCAGAGGAAAACAGAGGGGCTTCCCGATAGTCCGAACTCGTCTGACCTGAAAGAGCACAAGCAGCTAACTTAAAGCGCTAGATGCGTTTTGGATGCTCAAAACGTAACTTAAATACCTTTTATTTATTTTAACTCCATCCTCTTTTGCTTATTTTATTTAAACTTATTTGCCTTCCATGGACCTCCATCACACAATTTTTTTGCGGGGAAATGACATCAATAGAAATACGTTGAGCTGGATTTTCATTTGTGCAGTAAGACAAAACAGTCTTGGTGTTTTCAAGAGTTTTCACCTTAAAGAAATAAGTTACACAACTGATGTTACAATACAAAGAGATGGATGTTGTCTTGGTATTTGTTAATTTTATATATTGAGAAATATTTTAAATAAAAAAAAGTAAATAAAAGTTTTTTATTGAAAAAACAACACACATAAAGTTCCGAAAATTGGTATCGTTAAGTACCGGTATTGATTCCCAGGTACCGGATATTGGTACCAATTCGATTCAAATGTCAAAGGTACCCATCCCTAGCTGAGCTGTGATGAAAAGAAAAATACTGTCAAATACCGTGAAACCGGTGAAAATGTTAAAAATACTGTGATATAAAATTTTGATCATATCGCCCAGCTCTAGCCACTGTTCTGTTTTAAACTGTACACAGACAGTCAAYAAATCATATTATTTTATTATTACCATTACTTCCTCTTCTAACTTGTCCCACAAGATAAGTCAATCCAACCAATCACGGTTAAGGAAAACTCCGCCCACACACCAACTCTGCCAATCACAATTAGGGTCAACTATATCCACAACAAGACCTCCGCCAATCATGGGTAGGGCCATGTCCGCCCACAGAACAATGCACTACACAATGTACTGCAGAGACCCCTACTTGCAAGCTGTAGGAAAACATCAAATCTATTCCATCATTTGACAAAGTTCCACTCGATAAAACTGTCTAAGTGTATGAAAATGAAATGCCCTAAAAGCTTAAGCCCTCTACCAAATACATCCATGGCTATACTGGCAAAAACAACTTGGTAAAACAATCAGTCACTCTCTGTTCAATACTCCCCTCCCTCACTTCCAACGTCTGTCACGGCACCTCCATGTGATTAGGTGATGTATTTGCAAAGAGTTAATAAGATTAATAGCTAAGAAGCATTGTTACAACAAGAAATAATCCACCAATTACAAATTTCCTTACTTTTCGTGTTTTTTTACATTTACCATAAACTGGCAGAAGAGAGAAAGTTTTCTTTTCACTCAGTGCATCAACCATTTTCTTGAGAAAGACAAAAAAAAGTTTTTAACAATCACCTGAGGACATCATGGAAAGTCACATCTCCTCCATTATGAAGTCTCTCCATTTCATAACACATGTGCTTAAACAACAACTTGTCTTTGTCCAAGTCCACTTCCAGCCTGCCTCTGAGCAGACGCAGCAGAAACTTCACTCTGGATGTCGGGATCACACCCTGCAGGAACAGCCAAAAACACTCATTACATTACGCAGATTACAAATGGGCTTTGACACCAAGTCTGTAACTTTAAAGTGCAAATTGCAAATTATTAGGAACTTTGGTGAACTGCAGATGGAGGCAAATGCACCTACTGCTGCTTATATACTTGCTCCGTGCATTTATCTGTGTAAAAGGTTGAGTTATAAGAAGGTCCACTTTTAATTAAACACCTACTCGTCTAATTAGTTTCATTCCTATTACTGAACACTGCTCTCTGTCCCCTTTAGCAGCTTTATCTTCTCTATAATGATCTATACTGCCCTATATAGGCTTCACATTCTGCCTGCTGCTGTGTTTTTCTCACCTCCCGTTTGTCATCCACCATGTTCCAGATGATTTGGAAGTGCCTCAGGTCATTATAACTCAGCAGCTGGTCCTCCTCAGTGGAGTAGAACAAAGAGAAGTTTTCCACAATGATGGCTGCAGCAACAGAAAATGGCATTAACAAACAGACATTCCATATGACTAATACCTGTATAGTTTGCTTGCCATATCTCATAGACATTAACTTCATTCTAAAGGCTAACTAATCTGCTGTACTTTAGGTTTTATTAGGTCCCAATGAGCACCACAACATTCCAGCTAAAACGTCTTCATTATTCTCTGTCACACAAAATCTGTTTTCAATCTATCGATGCAAGGCAATGTTGTTGTACTCACCAATGCAAACAGCTTTTTGCAATTTTGCATCAACTTATTTATTTGCCTTCACTGACATCACACCCTCCCAACAATGAGCTGCTCTTGATGACACAATTAACACAATGAGCTAGTAGGATGTAGAGTTTTATTGTAGTCTTTGGGAGCCACTATTAAGAAAATACATAGGCTATTTGCTGCCAATAAGAACTTAGTACAACACAACAACAGCGGTTGATGTATATACCTTTTATAGCTATAAACAACACTCTTAGTGTTTTCATGCTAAATGCATTAAGCAGCACTGGTCACAGAAAAGCTACTTGTTCAATATCTGCAGCAACATAATGCAGTGGAGTTTTCTAAGTTTGTAAATTGGTATCATAGCTCAAATGCTAAGTCAAACCTATGTTTTTACTTTGTTTTCTACAAAGGCCTAATAGAAAGAAGAAAAAAAATCAATCAACGCCAACCACTAAGGGGAGTGAATTCTTTTTTGAACACACTGGTTTTCCCCACGAGAATGTCCACAATTTTTTAAGCGCCTTTCCATTGGTTGGGTATCTTAATACAAATGCCACAGCTTTAGAGATTTCCATGTGCCAACAAACATGTCAATTAAATAATAAATAATGATAAATTCTTCTACACGGGTTTATAGAGCATTTGGTTTCAGTATTATTACTGGACCAGTTAAATCAGTGTTTCCCTGGTCCTCAAGTACCCCTATCCAGCATGTTTGACTTGTTTCCCTGCTCTTCAGCAGGTCTTCAGAAGATTGTTAATCACTCATTCATTCAAACCAGGTGTGTCAAATCAGGGAAACATCTAAAAATCACTGCTTTAAATGTTGACCAACACCTCAAGAGCTTCTCTGAGCTTGAGGAGACATTTTCAAAATATACTATTGACTTAGTTTGATGTTTTAGTATTGCCTCTGGAAGCATTTGATTCTTTGCCATTTATTTGTAAATAATAAAATCAGATCACAAGTATTAAAGTATTAAATAAGTCCTGGAGGGTGCATGGGAGTTCGCCCAACCTGTCTACATGTGTTTTGTGGAYTTGGAGAAGGAGTTCGACCGTGTCCCAAGGGGGTCCTTGTGGGGGGTTCTCCGGGAGTATTGGGTACCGGGCCACTTGATACGGGCTGTCAGGTCCTTGTACGACCGGTGTCAGAGTCTGGTTCGCATTGCCGGCAGTAAGTCGGGCTCGTTTCCGGTGAGAGTTGGACTTCGCCAAGGCTGCCCTTTGTCACCGATTCTGTTCATTACTTTCATGGACAGAATTTCTAGGCACAGCCGAGGTGTTGAGGGGATCCGTTTTGGTGGGCTTAGGATCGCATCTCTGCTTTTTGCGGATGATGTGGTCCTGTTGGCTTCATAGGAACGAGATCTGCAGCTCTCGCTGGAGCGGTTCGCGGCCGAGTGCGAAGCGGCCGGGATGAGGCTCAGTGCCTCCAAATCCGAGGCCATGGTCTTGAGCCGGAAAAGGGCAGAGTGCCTTCTCCGGGTCAGGGGGGTCGCCCTGTCTCAAGTGGAGGAGTTTAAGTATCTGGGGATCTTGTTCACGAATGGTGGAAGAACGGAGCGGGAGATCGACAGGCGGATTGGCGCAGCGTCTGCTGTAAAGCGGGCGCTGTACCGGTCCGTCGTGGTGAAGAGAGAGCTGAGTCAGAAAGCGAAGCTCTCGATTTACCGGTCGATCTACGTTCCTACCCTCATCTATGGTCATGAGCTTTGGGTCATGACCGAAAGAACGAGGTCCCGGATACAAGCGGCCGAAATGAGTTTCCTCCGCAGGGTGGCTGGGCTCTCCCTTAGAGATAGGGTGAGAAGCTCGGTCATCCGGGAGGGACTCAGAGTAGAGCCGCTGCTCCTCCACGTCGAGAGGAGCCAGTTGAGGTGGCTYGGGCATCTGGTAAGGATGCCTTCTGGACGCCTCCCTGGTGAGGTATTCCGGGCACGTCCCACCGGGAGGAGGCCCSGAGGAACACCCAGGACACGCTGGAGGGACTATGTCTCTCGGCTGCCTGCTGGGAGAAGGAGGTCTGGGCCTCCCTTCTGAAGCTGCTGCCCCCGCGACCCAACCCCGGATAGGCAGAAGAAAATGGATGGATGGATGGATGGATCACAAGTATTAAAGCAGTGATTCTCAACCCTGGTCCTCAAAGACTCCTTTCCTGCATGTTTAGATGTTTCCCTGATTTGACACACCTGGTTTGAATGAATGAGTGCTTAACAATCTTCTGAAGACCTGCTGAAAAGCAGGGAAACAAGTCAAATATGCTGCATAGGGGTACTTGAGGACCTGGGTTGGGAACCACAGAGTTAAATCACTCATGCTTTTCTTGTTTTTTTTACATTTTAATAACTTTTTTTTTAATTTTTACTTTCATTTTATTTATGATAAGCGCTGCAAGCTTCTACTCTTGTCATTTTATCTCTGTAAATAATGACATGCACAGAATATTCAGCAAGATTTGGTTCAACTGTAGGGCTGAAACTCTATAAATGTTTCTCTCTGGCTTGTTGCAGGTTTTGCAGTCCTGTACAACACAAAGTAAAAAAGAAACACAGCAAACCAGAACTCTTGCTCTTGTTTTTGTCATTTAGTATATAAAGGTGACCTCTAGCTTAAAAAATCTAATCAAATCATTACATTCCTGGAATCTGGTTTATTTTCCTCAAATTACAGGTGGAATAAAACACCTGTGCAGAATAAGCAAAAACACTGACCTACAAGTAGGTTGAGCATAATGTAGGCTATGATGACGTAAAAAGAACAGAAGTAAATAAGTGCTCCAGCATAGTTGCCACAGTCAGTCTCCCAGTAACGATGCTTATCTGGAGTGCAGAACGGGGGCTGAACCTGGGGACAAACATTCACAAAAAACAAATAAAACAAAATAACTTCAACTAATGAGTCCATCAAATATTAAGTATTTAAAAATATGTAAGCAATTATAGTAGCTGCTATTAACATACCAATACACGTAGTTGCTAACATGCATACAATTTTGACACTTTCTTATAGTGAAACTTTTTTTCTATAGTAGCTTTAGTAAAACTGCTGTGGTCAGTGAAGTACTCAGAGTAACATAAGCAACAGAAAATAACTGTGGTGCTCTTTATTTGTCTTTGAGTGCAACAAACATAAATCCAATCCCTTTTGTTATGAGCAGCATCAGAAAATTGCAACACATTTAACAGAAGATTGTATGTCAACAGCTGCTTTTTTTCACAAATTGTGAATTAAATTTGATCTTGTCTGGTTTTTTTTTATCAGCTGAAAGATGTGTGCTGAACTCGGAGCCTCTCTTACCATGCAGTCATGCATGATTTTATTCCAATCTTCCCCTGTGACGATGCGGAAGAGAACGGTGATAGCTTTGCCTGCTGTGGAGAAGTTGGCATGCCTGTGAGATTTAGAGACACAGAAAAAAAATCAAACATCTTTCTGAAAACACATATTTACTGTACAGGTCCTTCTCAAAAAA